TGTATCCCCAGAAGAGCTGGGAGCAATGCAGGCATCCTCAGAGCATGTTGGAGGAGGTAAAACCTAGGTTAAGCACCACATCTGAAATGAATGTCCCTGGAGTGGCATCTAAGTACTGTCCCTGTCTGGAAATTGCTTTAAGAAATTGCTCTAACCACTTCATTCAAAGTTCATACTTAAATACATTACTGAAATTGTATCCCTGATTCTCTGGATTCCAAGCACTTTCTCACCCTCAAAATCTCTAACTTCACCCTTCTCACACAGTTTCTCTTTAAGGCGCCTTCAGACTAACGCACAGTGAAGGTGACAATCTTCCTAGAAAGACTAAAGACTCCAGTCTACCCTGGAATTTCCCCATTTGACTGCATACAGGGAAGCCACTTTAGTACCAGTTTGTGGACTGGAGCTGGAAATATCATTTCTTTCACATAGCAAACCCAGATGCTTCAGTGCTTGCCTCTTTCTGCCACATAGATCAGTGGTTGCTGATGAAGTCAGACATTTTCACAGACCAGTTCTAATCCCGAAAGCATGTCAAAATTCCCTTAAGTGAGATCAATGGCTGCACAGGTTCATGGAGAGACTAGAACTGTACGTTCTAATCCTTCAATTTGTATACAAACACTAAATCAGTGGGATTCCCACAAATGCAAAACTCGGTCAAGTTGATTGTATTGGGTATTAGGTTACATCCCTTTAAGTCATCCATTTTCACTGAACTTCTACTCCCATAAAGCAACACCACCATCTACAGCCCAAACATCAGACTCTGCACCATATGCTAGCTGCACCTCTCTCTGCCCTATCCTAAAAACATCATTGGACACAAGATGTCATTACACCTAAAAGTCACAGACTTCTTTTGAAAATATACAATGTAATGTTAATTTTCATTACCTTAAGAGCTTGATGTGGAAAAAAAATAAAAGAATTAACAATTCTTTTAAAGGAAATTTTTTTTCTGTTTTCATCCCTCAATCTGACTTCCACAGCACAATGCTTCCCATGAAGTGTCTGCATGCATTGTAGCTCCAGAACAATCCAAGTTTCTCAGAAATTGATATTTCTATGGACAAAAAAATACCTCTTTTAGCAAGGGGAACCCTACTGTGAATGGACACGAGCAGAGAAAAAAAAAAAGTTTCACTGCAGTTATTTCTGGTGATTAATTCTCATTTTGGTTCCTTGTCCTTGTGTTGCCAACCACACTGTGTCTTTGGTAGGCTGAAAGGGATATTTCCCCTTAGAAATGTCCCATAGCCTTGACCCGTTCTTCCCAAAAATGGTAAACCCAGTTTCGACTTCTCATCTGTGCTAGAAGGCCATTACAGCTTTTTCTTGTACCAGCTTAGTCCAGCTGTTACAGGGAACTGCAAAAGCTTTGATAGTGGTTAACTGAGTGTACTGTCTGTAATCCTGCCTGTGCCTGTTCATGCACCATGTTTCGTCACAGATGTAGAGTTACACAGAATAATGCATACAAACTGTTCATAAGATGCAGTCACTAAGTTACTTGTTTACAGCATCAGGACCAAGATACTGGCTTACAGCTTTGGCATTAGCCCCACCAGGAAAGCTGAACTGCCTCTGTTCAAGTCTTCTGCCACGTGTTACCACATGATTAACAAACTCACCATGAAAGAACACTTACACGTTCTTCTGAAATATTTCAGGGAACTGTGGGTAATAGCCATTCAAATTGTAAAACAAAGTATACCAATGTGTGAATTTACTGGTGACTTTGCTCTAAGAACTCTATGTTTTTACTGGACAGAGGAGTTTCTTTCAGCAAAGGGACACAGAAAGCTTAATAAGTTCTCACTTCTAATAATGTGGTCTGTGAGGTCAGTGGTATTGATACTAACTTACACTAGCTGAAGAACTGAGCTTGTCTGTGTATATTTCTAGACTTTTACAGAATTCATCTAGAGCTATACATTACATATATACTGAAAGGAGTTAGAATCGATAAAAACTGCCAGTTTCACATTGCCAGTGCAGCAATGTGATTGACAGCAAGTTCTGTAGCCACAGGAATATGTTGTGCAAACACCTTAGCAATCAACAGAGAAGACCCAGAAGAATTTTGAAGGTGTCGTTTGAAGAGGCTCCACTCCCTGAGTGTCACAGGCATAAGCCAGAGGACATTCTGTCCTGTTTTAGTACTGGAGTCATTGCCTGTATCTCCTCTGCACATACCCTACCCTTGTAGGCTAGGAGAACACAGTCAGTGTCAGTCATTTGCAGTCAGGCAAATGCAGCTTCCCAATGTTACCTGCTGTAAAACCTGCCTGCAGTTTGAGATGAGAACCCACCTGCCCCATCTGCTTTCAGCAGACTTAAAACTTTGCCACGGTGACCACTAGAGGGAAGTCATATACATTTGCACTAGGTGCCTTATGAATAAGGGAGTGGATTAAGATGCAAAAGAAGGAAAAAAGCAGTCTGACGTACATAGAGGAAGTACCAGACCTCATGAATGTGTGTTGCACTCTCCAGAAACTAAATCAGGTGCCACTGTATGAGGGATCATTTGCTGCTACTTTCTTGTGAGATCCAAATCTATTGGCCAGCCAAGAGAACCACCTAAGAGACTCCATGTCTGAAGTTTGTCATGTGTACTTGTTTTTAAGACCATGCTTTTGAAAATTCAGAACACAAAGGTAACATGGCATATTCTTTTCTGCAGTTGTAAGGGAAGCTGAGAATAGCTTAAATGCACTGTACCATCACTAATGCTGGCAGAGCTACTGACATGATTTCTGCATGAGAAGGCAGGAAGTTTTTGACATGTAATTACACAAATCTTTACAGGTGGGATGGAAATTTTTTTTAAAGTGATCTTAATATTCAGACATCTGACTTAAGTTCATACACAGAGTTGAGCTGTCAAAAAGCTAGCCAGAAGTCTGTCATATATAAATAGGTACACATTGCAGAAGAATCTCTCAAACAGTAGGATTCAGAGTAGTTTGTCAACAGATCTAAATATTTCCCTATCTTTGTAAGTCATATTCTCCTTTGGCTTACTAGGCACCCCTGCATCTGTCACCTTGGGCTCTCTGCAGAGTGCTTACAAGTAAGAAGAAGCTTCAACTGTTGCAATAGCCAGCGCATTTTTTCCATCGTGAGAATAAGGACAGCATCTTCACCTTTTTGGCTTTCAGCTTCCTCCTGACTTTGTTTTACAGCAGATTGGTTTCTTGCCTCCTTCGAGAGTCAGGCTTGCTTTCACATCACTGATACATCATATTGACTTTAGAACCTACACTAAGTCACAAAATTTTAGGAGAAAGTTGTTGTTTTTTTTTTCCCCCCCTTCTACATCCCAAGCCTTCATAGTTTTTGAGAATAAATAAAGAAAAGAAAACATGAACAAAAAAACAACCCTGTTTCAATTGTAGATAGGTAAATAATTCTCTCTCTTCTTACCACATCTTTACCTTTGAAAACTGGAAAGAGTCATTGCTAGGTGAAGGATCATTTCATGTGTGTTCAGCTCTTAGTCAGGTTTGGACCCCTATATCAAGTTGTACCATAAAAGTTAATGATCTGTAAATTGCTGACATGAAAACATACATGCAGTAAGAATCCCTTTTTTAAAGTGTACTTTTAATTAAAAATGTTAATCAAAACTGAAACAATTTTAAGATCAGGTCACAACTGTACCACCACTGATGTTACTTTACTTGAAATATTTTTTAAAAGCCTATTTATGCACAATCAGACCTAGTCCTCAGACTTTCAAGAGATACATAACACTATCCCTACCTAAGTTCATTTCAGGCATTTTGCACACTTCCTGCATTTCAACTTTCATTACTAATTCTTTTCATGCAATTTTCATACTCTTCATTTAAGGCTTTTTTTTTTTTTCTTATTAAAAGTGGGAAAAATGGAAAAACCAATGACATATCTCCTCTACGTTCTCTCTTCTCCTGTGCATTGCAAGTCCTAGGACTACTAGTATCAGCTGCTATGATTTATCTACTGGGGTGAAGTTGTTCTGACCTGCAGTAACAAAGTACATCATTGTTGACTCGCATGTTATAAAAATGATGCACAATACTTGCATCTGAAAATCAGAATAAACCTTTTATGCAGCTCTTTGTCAATTCTACAAATGGTTGCAGTTAATCGATGCTATAAAGCTTTCCTTCAGGCACTGGTATTCGGCTTCCACACTGGAAAACATAGCTTAAGTCTAACATTTTAAATAAAGATGGTGTTACCTAATGAAATACTTGGGGTTTGAAAACGCCCAGTGCTGTAAAGCTATGAAACTACTCTTAGTATTTAGGAACACCTTTTGAAGCTCTGTGGAAAGAGACACTGTACAGACACTGTTTTGTTCCTGTTCTTACAGACACTTTTAATTTGATCAGGGGTCACGTTACTCATTGGAATATCCACGTAATTTTCATTAACACTGATGTTTACAACCTTACGAAGGCACAAATTGAATTACCAAATCTTTTTATTAACAAGTGTCACACAATTGTTGCCATAGGGAAGCTCAGGAGACTTCGCCTTGCAATAACAAACACTGTAAATTTAGCAGAACTTTCCCAGAATATATATAATCGTTTAGTTTTGCATTTCACATGTGTAACACAAGAATAGCAGGGTCCCAAACTACAGAAAATAAAGACTCAAGTCCAACAGCTACATGCACAAGAAAAAAAAGGAAAAACAAACAAACAAACAAACAAACAAACAAACAACTTACCTTCAGCAAGCCTCAGAAGTACACAAAGATCTCCAGCAAAATCCCCTAACCTTCCCTGCCAACCCTTAAATGAGCTCTGGGAGTGGTGCCTCCTGGCCCCACCCCTTCCAGTCACTCAATTGCATTGCATGCACCTGAGCTCCCCTGTATTGGCCCTGCCTTCCCACCATGTCCTCAATTATGGGTTTAAGCTGTGATTTAGCATTTCTGCTACAATATATTTGCCATTCTGAAATCAACTAGTTCTATCTTAGGAGCTGTGAAAAGAATAAAGGTAGAGGAAAGGAAATTTTCCTAAGCAATGGCAAACCACATGGGAATCCTGCAGGCTTTTTGTTTGAGGTTTTAATAGTGAATCCTCATCTAAGAACTTTATCTAAGAAATCATATATGATATATAGAAAGTAGGGAAGATATTTGGAAATTTCCTTCTAAAAAGCTCTCAAAGGTACAGCATTGCATCCTTATTCTTACCCATATTCTCAGCATTTCTCAAAGTTCTGAACACACAAAAAGGAGTGATACAGAGAACAGATGTAAGAAGATCATGGTAGGAAAGACAGAGGGAAAAAATTACAAAAAACAAAACTTATGTGACTCTCTTGTTACAGTACACACTGTGCTGTGTCTGCAGCAGGCCCTTGCCTAGTGGGCACAATCTATCCTTAAGTGTGTGTGACCTACTAACTACAGTGAAAAAAGAGCAGGTGATCTGATTTACTACTTCTCTAAGAGAATAACTTTCACCTTGGTAAGAGAAATTTCAAGGCAGCACTCATTCTAATGCACATGCTGCTACTTGCATGGGTTTTGTGGACCATTCTTCAGAGCATTTACTTACCAATTTTTCAGCAAAAACGTTCAGAAGTTCAGCAGAGAACTGACCATATCAACAAGGACCATTCTTCAGTCCAGCCATTGGAGTGGGTTTTGTTCCTATTTCCAGGTGGGTGAAAAACAAACATAGAAAATAATTTCTGAGAAACCATTTGAAGAGCTCAAACTTTTCAGTGATCCTTTCCAAAGATCTCATTGTAAAGACTACAGTAGGCAAGTTAGAAATATTTCCTGAAAAGGGAAAAAATGAAGAAAATGAAACTAAGGGCAAATAATGACACCTGAGATCTTTTAATTTTGGGCTAAGTTTAGCTAATTTAAACAGGTGCAATGTTTAAAAGGGCAGGGGCTCTGAAGTTTTTAGTAACGGGACTCTGGCAGCAGAGTAGCAAATATGTATAACATGTAAACTCAATAGTTGGTTTGGGAATTCCTGGTCAGAGTGACTTGCCCAAGCTCCCCCTGTAAATCAAAAGCAAAACCTGTGCGACAAGAGTCCTACTTTCTAAAGTTTGTTTATTCAAGCAGTTTGTAACACTTTCTTCCTGTTCCAGCTGAATCATTTAATCACTATAATGTCGTAGTTTTGTTTCAGCATTTTTTTATCAGCAGCGGGTGGGGATTTAAAAAAAGCTCTTCACTTTTCACTTCTGGTCATCCTGGTAACTTTCATCTGTGCATTGCTTTATTTTGCTGAAGGCTTTCCCAACAGGCTGGCTTTTTCTCTGAAAAGCTGCATCACCTATGGAGCTAGGAACTGTGACCTTCTGATATTTGAATGGTTTCATGGAAACTTCAAAACTTTGTTTTCTTAATTTCTATTTTCTGCTATCCTTTCCTTTTTCCTCTCTCTTTGTTATTGTTGGGTGGTTTTTTTTTCTGTTGTTGTTGTTGTTGCTGTTGTTGTTTGTTTTTTCAACTAAACAAATTATTGACATAATTAGGAAATACTTGCTAATACTTGCTAATGTTGCTTTTCATTTGTGATATGAAACTGGTATTTTGACCAATCATGCAACAATAAATAAGCTTCAGCATGCAAATCTTCAAAACAGCCTCTCACATCTTTCCTGTGCAATTGGTGGTAGAAGAGTCCTGTAGCTCCTTGCCTTCTGATGAGCAACATTCTTCTTACCCTTCAAATTGTTCTTTGTTTCTGTACTTTTCCTTACCATCGAAACTCTTCCTTTTGCTTTACGCTCAGCTGTCAGGTGTGCTGGCTGTTGCCAACCTTCATCTGCCTTGCAGTTTTCACCCCAGCTTTTCTTGTAAGTCAGGAAACAACCTCATGTGGGCTTTTTTCCTTAAAAGCTTATCATTTGCACTTGCCACTGCTAAGTGTGGCAATGTGATGAATAGATACAGATCTGCTCACTGGTGCATAGTGGCCTCAGGTTCTTGGCTCTTTTGTTCTATTTGCCTACTGTATAGTTTGGCACTCTTTTTTTGAGTAATGTCTTTTGTTTTCTGAGAGACTGCTGTGAATACAAAAAGCATTTCATCTCATCAATCTCTTTGCTCTTCTTATACCAAATACCTGGGAATATACGTTTCTATGGAGTGAGGGACCCTTTAATCATCTCGCCATTGCCATCAATCTCTGGTCTGTATTTACCTTTAACTTCTTTTCACATTTTGCAGGAACCTGGGGCTGGATGTACTCTCCTTAATCTTCAGGTGTGCTAAATAGCTACAGATCTCTGCACTTTGCTAGCTCCTGCTATGTGTCAAGTGCCAGGCACAGGATATTTTTGAAGAGGTATGGCACACCTTAGGGTACTTTCTGTAAGTGTCATTTCTACAACTATGTAAGAAGTAGTAAAAATGGCAGGCTATTGTAACCGAGAAACAAGTGCTTCTTGTAATTAAAAGACAAGTTACCCTACACAGTAATGTTCTCAATGTTAGGTTATGTGGTAAAATGAAGGGAGGGCAGAAACTCAAATGAAGGACTCTCCAATCACCGTATGGTCTGAGGTGGTTGTGGTTTAGTTTCATTGTGGGGAAACAGTATGGGATGCAAGGAAAAAGCAGACAGGGATTGCACTGGATGGACTATGGGAAGTCTAGGGAAGGAATCAAAGATGGTGGGAAAAAATGGGGTTGGGTGATTTGGAGAGAAGCAAGAGAGCAAGAGTGGGAAAATAAAAGTGTAGGTAGATAAAAAGGACCAGTCACATACAAATTGTTGTTGGCTCATTCTAACTCATGTATGGATATGCCCTGTCCATGATTGGTGCAGCTGGACCTGTTACTAAATTCCTTTCTAACACTGCCCTGAGTAAGGGCTTCATATTTTTTTCACGTGAGAGTATAAATCTTCTGTCTATAAAAATGTTTGATACGCTGTAGCAGAAATACTAACTTATAGCTTGAGGCAGTGATTGAGCACCTGGCTGGAAGGCAGGGCCAACCCAGGGGATCTCAGCTGTATGCAATGTACCTGAGTGACCAGAAGGGGTGGGCCAGGATCCACCCCTTCCCAGACCTCGTTTTAGGGTTGGCAGTGGAGGTGAGGTTATTTCTTGCTGGAGATCCCTGTGTACCTGATGTCTTTCAAAGGTAAGCATCTCTTTTATTTTTGTAACTGTGGCTGCTGCATTTGGGCTTGTTCTCATTTGTTGTAGCCAAAGACTTTACTACCCTGCTATTATCATGTCATTATAGCATTACATACATGTAATGGATTCATAGCATATCACTATAGCATGTGTATATTATATGTAGCAAATCATAGGCTGTTGGAGGTTAAAATTCAGTCTCATGTAAATTGCAGTGAGATTAGCTTGAGATTGGGAGAGTGAGCATGGAGGTCCAGCTATTAGGATCTGGAAAATCCTGGCCAGATGCACGTGTAATAGTCTATACCTGAAACCGGAGAAGGATTGCAGCCAGGTGGGCTTATATGTTAAGGTGCCAGCAACTGAGGAGATTAGGATCCAGAGGCTGCATGTGAGCTGGGGAGCTGTGCGGTCCTTACAAACATGTATTCCCTTTACTGGACTTCCAGCCTTGGAGAGGAGTAGGATGAGGCTGTTGGTGTTGTCTACATTCATGCAAGTACTCTGAGTGTCTTCCTATTAACTGCATGGCTAGGCAAGTAGACACACAGCATATATCTGTGCAATGTAAACATGCATTTCATATGCGTTTGTCTGCTTGAAATGCATCTTCAGCCTTTCTATTGGCTAAACCTGGGCTGATTGACTACTTCACTGAAATATCTGTTTTAAACTATAGAAAATTTGCTTACAAATTTGCTGCATATTGTTAGAGTGCTAATATAGCATTCACAATAGCTGCTCAACAGTCACTCAGAAGAGTCCATCAGCTTGCAGTTGGGCTGATGCACATTTTATGGTGGAAGCTGAATGGATGGAATTGCTTCAAAGCACAAAACAATGGCCAGAAAGTGTTCTTGTTTTCATATACCTATTTTCTATTCCTTAAGCACCAAATGCTCTGGTCGCTGAGCTCTACTGTTTCTAGGCTTCTTCCTGAATAGTGACTCTGCAACTGGAACTGATCCATGCAACTCCAGGATTTTTAAAACTGGTGTCTCATTCAGTTTTCTTTATTTTTGAAGTTTTTGAGCATTTATCAGTGGTTTAATGTCTCAGTAAGTGAATTTGAATTTGTCACCCAGGAAAGCCTAAAGTGTGCCAATATGCAGAGGATGGGCCCCCAAATCGCGGGCCTTTTCTGAGAAAAGAATCTGTAGGCATTGAAAGGCAAGGACATATTAAATGGCTGTTAGGTATAGTACTTAAGTGTTGATAGCTTGTTATTTATGTAAAGAAAAGGCAAAATTGGTCACTCGTGTGTAGTGCTTAGATTAAATATAAATGCCTCTCTATCTCCCCAGCATCCTTTTAAAGTCTTAGTAATGCTTTTATCTGTTTTATTATTAAACATTTTATATGCTTTTACCTCAGCCTTGCACGAAGGAAAGATCACATGTAGATAAGGAACTAACGCTTCATTTTTTCATTTCTTGGGTGAAAGTTGAAATGATGTACTAGAATATATAGACTGCTGAAAACTGTTATATGCAAAATAAATAAAACAACAATCAGAATCACAGAATTTCTCAGGTTGGAAAAGACCTCAAAGATCATCAAGTTCAACCGCAATGGACTAGTGTAGGAGCTGTTAAAGATGGAATCTTTGCAGAAGCACTGTCTTTCAACAACCAATGCTAAGTAGTTTAAGTTCTCCAGTACATAATACATACTGGAACATGCCTGAAACGTGAGAGTATTGTAAAAGTTTAAAACATCTACTTGCACTACTGAAATCCCTTTTTTTTATTAGAGGCTATTTAGGCTTCTTAGGAAGATGCTGATTGGCTATGCACTCCGAAGGAAACTGTTTCTCAATTTTAGGCTGTTTCTTTGGAGGTATGGCTGCTTTATATAATTATTCTTCATATAGGTATTACAGTTTGTCAACAGCATTGATGCTTAAAGGCTGTACGACTACCTGACTCAATTTGATGATGTACCTGTGCAGTGATGTGAGTTTGCAAAACATTGTATTCTGAATACCATTTATCAGAGGTATTGTATGTCCATAGATCTGTGGGTGGAATATATTGATAGCATGAAAACGGATCTTGACATTGGAAAAACTGAATATTGTTGTGTCATTTCTTTAATATGCCCTTATTGTTGGCATTAGCAATTAGGTTATTCTAATTGTAAATAAACTCTTAATTTTTGTTAAATTCTTCTTACCATGAGAAAACTATTGACTCATTCTACGCTAATTACACAAAATTATTGATGCTTATTCTTGGAATTTGGGCAATTACTTTAGTAACTCCAAGAATACTTTAAAATGAACAATTGAAAAATAGTATATAATGTCCTTATGAGCCTGTTTTTTTTTTTCCTCCAATTCTTTCATCTTTTCATGATCTTCATCCTTAAGATTCTCATGTCTCTTATGAGAAAAGTAGTGGCAAACAACAACAACAAAAGAACATGAGGACTTTGTGAAGGCATAAGCTAGTGTAAATGGGGGTGTTTGAAAAATGCAAAAAAAAAAAAAAAAAAAGCTAAATTCTAGGTCTTTTTTATTGTTAATATTCACTCTTTAGTCAAGCGAAAAAATTTACTTGAATCTGTGTGGAGTTCTTCTTGAGCAGAATTTCTGGGGTTTGCGCCTTTAATGAGGACTAAGTAAAAATCATTAATGGGAACAGAAATAAAAGTACTGAAGATGGTGCCCATACACTATACACTTAAGTTTACACTGCTTGTATGTTTAAGCACAAGATAATACAAAATAAGGTCCGGGGAAATCATCCTGTATGTATCCCAAAAGATATCTGATACATCCCACGACAGCAAAGCCTTGTTTATTCAAAATACTTTGGGAACATCAAAACATTTGGATAAACAGGGCTTCAAATAATTGAGGGAGTTATTGTATAAGTAATTCACACCAGGGGACATAACCTAGATTCAAAGGAGCAAGTTTCATATCAAGGGGTTATAGATAAATGGGATTTTAGTCTATATGAACAGATGAAATAAACAGCATTTGATTATTAAGGAAGAAAGAGGTGTCCAAATATTTTTATTTTTTTTTTCGATAAGATTTGAGAATGAAAGATCAAAGTTGCTGCAATAGGTCACACAGCAGAATACTCTTATGGAATCAAAATAGTAAGTAAATAAATTACACCAAAAGGGTTTGGATTTTCTTGTTTGTTCTTAAATTCACTGACCTCCTGGGTCAGGGTCATATGAATGAGTTATTTTTGCTCTTATTCCAGCCATGACACTGGCATATAATTTGTGGCAGAAAGTAGGGATCTGTAGTATTCACAGAACTGTTAAGTTATTTTCCCCAAAACACAATGGAAGTAAACTGCAAAGTATGCAAGTTGTCTTTTATGGGCAATACTGTCCGAATGCTCATCTTTCTCTTTATATTGTCACCCAGACATGGTTCATCCACATACAAACACCTCATCATCTCCAACCAAAAGCCCTCTAAAATACAAATTTTAAAAGCTGTTGTGTGTGAAAGAAAGTTGGCAATGCATGTTACTAATATGATTGTATGGATAATTTGGCAATTTGGACAAACTGACAGCCCTGCCAGGAGCCTGATCCTCACACTGCGATGCCTCACCTCGCAATACCCTGGCCAGGCGAAGGAAAGCCTTTGCTGCACAACACATATGGGAAGAGTTCCAGAGATGTGTTCTTGACACCTGGTTGCCTTGTTGAAGATCTCCTGATGTTTCTGAGCCTCGTGCTTCCAGCCTCTGAAAGCGTTTTGCCTGCAGCCCTCACAGCTGCTCTGCAGGGGGACGCAATGCAGTGTCTTTGCCTCAGCACTTTTGGCGGGAAGAGCAGGATCGAGCAGTTGCCATATTGCCACAGGCTCTCGGTGGGCATGTTGCACCCTCTCCTCTCAGCCTCATGGCTTCACTCTGTGCCAGACACGGGGAAATGCCATCCCAGCACTGGGAAAGATTGGAGAAATAAAAACGTGTAGTTTAGCAAAAGTGAAATGGGGAGAGGAGGAGAGTAAATGCCTGTGAAGTGCTGGGAGGTGCCGTTGGTGATGGTGGAGCCAGTCCTCTCAGAGGAGGAGCAGCCGTTAGCAGGCAGCCCCACAGGGCGAGAGAAGTCTGAGGAGGAGCAGAGCGCTGGGGGCACCACTGGTTTGCTGGCAGGTAACAGCATGCTCTGGAAGTAATTAGAAGTGAACCATAAAAAGCAATGCAGAGGAAGGCCAAAACAAGCATTGGGGTTTTTGTTTCCTGAGGGAGACACAAGGGCAACTTGGAGTTGGTTTAAAATTTCATGCTGCTGGCCTGGCTCTCTCTCATTTCATCCCATTAATGTTCTGCAACCTGTTGGGTGGAGTTGTGTTGCCTGTGTTACAGCAAATTTCTGGTGTTATTCTAATTTCCTTCATCAGGTGATTCATGTAGATACAGGTATTTTAAAAATATATCCTTTTTTTCAGAAAGAAAAAAAAAAACAACCCTGAAATAGTCACTTGTCTTTGCACTCAACTAGCAACATAAAGTGATAAGATGCATCCAAGTTTTGTCCTCTTTACTCTCTCCTTCTTTTACAGGCTTGCCATGGCTTTCCTCTGTGATTGAAGAATTCCTGCTGTGCATTTCCTGGTTGCAATTCAAAAAGGATATTCCGACCAGTTTGCTATCTGGAGCAGTGCAGAGAAGAGAAGGTAAAAAGGAAATTCGTGTGGTATTGGTTTCAGTTTGATAGCCCTGGAGTCTGAAACTGTTGTATAGCCCCAAGTCCAGAAAGTACATAGGTTTGTGCCTAACAAACTTCTTAAACACTTAGGAATGTAAAGATACGTATAAGTACTTGGACAAAAGCAATGCAGGTTTCCTTAGTCTGCTGGTATAGAGCCTATGGATGTTATTATCTGCGGATCTGAGAATCCTTTCCTATTCCCATTAAACACCTTGATTTTTTGATATAATGAAGATTGCAGCCATGCCATTTTTGATCTGTTCACCTAAGGATGCAAAGACTGCTTGCTGCCATCAAATTCAAAAGCACGTCTGCCACTGAGTTCAATAGCTACAGGATGGGCCCTGCTTTTTTTTTCCCTGTCATTTTATTTTTTCTTTTTGTTTCCTCCCCAAAGGCTCTCTTTAAAGGGTAAAACCCACTGAAGATACAGGTCCTTCAGAATCAAACAGAATTAATGAATTTCTCAAGCTCGTTTTCTGAAGTAGATTTTTTTCCCTTCCTGCTTCCTGCCACAGTCACATCCTTTATTCAGTACCATGGAGGTACAGCTGCATAGTGGAGTATAATTCATGAGAAAGAAACGTGTGTGCTTGGGATTTAAAATAACACGCTCCTTAATTACATTTAATAGTGCCTTATCAATAGACTGATAAACTTGGGTGTTTGCCGTTCCTATTGATTATGATGCTCTGTAGCAGGCAGAGGCAGTAACTGCTGCTGCTGATGGAAAAGAAAAGGTACTGGAAGGAGGAGGGGAGAAGGAGGTGGGAGACGAGGGGATTGGCTGCTTGCAATGTCAATCACAGCTGCGGGGCCCGGCTCTTCCGCTGCTCTAGCCCTGGCTCTCCCTTGAACAGCTCCTAGAGAGAACAAGGCGTGCGGAGCCCAGATCACCAGCATCATGCTCCTTGGGCTTGGATCGTAGATCCCCCCTCTTTGAACATTAAAATAACTCCTTCGCATATCAGCGTCCCAGACAGACCCAGCGAGACAACAGGCACGTGAAAGAGAGTGAAAAGAAAGAGGAGGAAGAGAAAAATCTGCAACCAAGTGGACTAAAGCAAAAAGAAAGAGTGCTTTGCTTGCACAGCTGCAAAGTGGGAATTTAAAGAACTGCAGAGAGAAATTCCAGCTCATCAGCACATACACATTGCAGAATTACAGATCCAGGTAGAAATGACATCAACAGGGAAAGAAGGCAGCGGAGCTCAACATGCACAATATGTTGGACCCTATCGTTTGGAGAAAACCCTAGGAAAAGGACAGACAGGTTGGTTCCTTTGCAGCAGCACCCGCGCCAAGGGGAAGGTGCTGTAGCAGCCAGTGAGGTGTTGGGGCTGGGGTATGTGAGGGATCAGGTTTTCCCGTTTGCCGATTTAATGAAGATAATATTCACAAAGGATTTTTTTTTTGCTTTGGTTTTAATATTCATGTTATTTTTTTCTCTTTAAAAAAAACCAAGATGCTTCATGTTCATTACTCCTTCTTATGGGTGGTGTTCTGGTGACGGAAGAAGTGCATGCAGAGGAAAAAATAGATGATGCTTGTGGTGGATTTTCACATCAATTTCTTCTCTGCCCTACTTAGAAGTCTTTTCTTTTTAATCAAATTATATTGAAATGGAAGGTTCACAGCCTGTAGTACCAAGGAGGTGGTGGTGGTGGTAGTGGGGGAGTCACCAGCAGTATTTCATGACATCATGATTGAAAAGGGTGTAGTCCTTAAGGTGCAGTTGGTGGTGGGAAATATATACAGTATATCTGTGGCACTGACTGCATTGGGCATTTACCAAATATGGACGGATGAGCTGGTGATTTTTTTGTGTAGCATCTGAAATAAAAGGAAAATAGAGGATCAGTAGCAGAATTCTGGTTATCCCATGTTTTTGTAGGAAGAATGAGGGGGAGGGGAGGTTATTTAATTATTTCTCTTAAAGCTTGTTTATGAACTCACCCCCAGCAGATCTGTTTGAATGGAACAATGGTAAGAAATATTAAAAAGAGGAAACGGAGTGGAGGGAATTAGCGGAGAGCAGGTGCTTCTGCCCTACATGACATAATTAGATCCTCTAAATGCGTTAAAGATCTGGACTTGCTGTTGCTTGCTTAGATAGCATATTCACTTCAAGGGCAGGGGATCCTTAATTGGAAGGAAAACCTCTAAAAGAAGCCCAAATGACTATTCCTTTTTTTATTTTATTTCATTTTTTGTAGTAACAGGTGCAATAAGCAATGGGATCTGGCAAATTCACTGGACTGGGGAGACCCCCTCCCCTCAAAGTGAATTGAGTCTTGAGATGATAATTCAGGGAAAGGGGAAATTAGTAATAGGGGGCTTCTTTGGGCATGTGGGTATTAAGTGTTGTTCATTACGGTGGGACAATAAAACATGATGCATTGTGGTGGGGTGGGTTTTTTTGTTGTTTTTGGTTTTGTGTGTGCGTGTGTTGTTTTTTCTTTTTTCTTTTTTTTTTTAAACCAGCCGAGCTTTGCCCATCTGTTGTCTAAAGGTTTTAATAGGCGTTTCCATCCCCAGCTGCTGCCTCTGCTCTGCCTGCTTCCTCATTGCCCTGCGTGGCAGCAGCTCTGCAGTCCGCAATTTTCTTAGGGACACAGTCAAAATCCAGATCTTTCTCTGTAAGAAGCAATGCTCTTCTGAGATGATTGATTATAACCCCCCCCCATCTTTCCCCTCCTCTTCACAACCCCATAGCAACCGTTCAGAGACAGGGATGGGGATGACATTGTCTTCCAGTGAAAGTGACTTTTATTTATATTTATATTTTTTAATCCTTTTCATTACATCAGCTGCTAAAGGTAGCTATCTGTCAGTGTTTTGGGTATCACCTTTATTTATTCTTTGCATGGCTCAATAAGCCCTTACTTGTGCAGCTGTATCCTTACTAAAATCTGCTCTGATGATGAAAATACTCCACCAAAAAAATGCAGTATGTTGGTAATAAAACTATCCTATTTCTTTCGGTAATCTTTTTTTTCCTGGGTACTCCAGGTGATCAAAGATCCAGCTGTGGATGACAAATTCATTTTTGTCTTCATCACCACTTCCTTTTCTTTTTCTCACCCTCTCAGTACCCCTCCCTCTCATGTAAAACACAATTGTCTGATTCCTGAAAATACTACCGCATTAACCTTTCGCTCCAGATCTCATAGCCTGACGTTGTGGTCCTAAAGGGTTATCTGCAGCTTTGGTTATTTTTTTTCCTCTCTGCTAATCTTCCTATCTTCCTCCTAAGTGATTAGAGACGTGGGGGTGGAGGGAGGAGAGCATGCGTTTAGAAGCTGCTGTTGGCCTCTGCAGTTTCTCAACCACCTGGACAAGGGTGAAAGTTTCCTTTTGCAGTTTTACCACATAACTGATCTCAATAGATAAGTCTCTGCTGCCTGTGCACATGAGTGCACATAAATGCACAATGCACGGTGTCATAGAAGCTGGAGGTGGTGAAGGAGGGAGGGGAAGAAGAGAAAGGCTTAAAAGTAGCTGATGTCAGCCTATGTCTTCCTTGCCATACCTACTGTCGATCAACATAATAATGCACTTAGATGAAATCTAGCTCAGTGTTAAACATACATGGCTGAATATGGAAAGATGCCTTCTGGTCTTCTCGCGTTTTCTGTGCTAATCACATTGCTAGCATGCAGAATGCCATGAACAGTGTGTGCTATGTAGCTGGTCCTCATCCTGCTTGTTTTGAAGGGTAAGCAAGCAACCTGCAGCATTTCAGAGAGATGACAACAAGCGCAGTATGAGGGCCTCATTCACCATACTGTGTCGTCATGGTGTGTAACTTTGAATTTGGGTTGCAGTGGCATATAGCTCAAGAAAAGCAGTGATTGTAATTATTCCCTTAAAGCTTGACTTTAAAGCTTGGAAGATTAGGAGGTAATAGCTTGGAATACATATTTATTTTTTTCTGTGGGATGGAAAGAGAAAAATTTTGCAAAATGTAATGGTCAGTGGAAAGAAAGTCTAACTTGTGTTGCTAAATTTTACCCATTTTGCAGTGATCTCTGTACTCATCATTTCATTTTCTGTAAGATACTGATTATTTCAGATATGCAAGCTTTAGCTTTGCTCCCAGGTATATTAATATTATGCGAATCTGTTAATTACTCTAACTATCTTTTAGTTAGATCAAAAGAATAGTTTTTTGGAGTGGAGCATGGGTCTGTAGTTCAAGGCAGACTTAGGGTGCTGCGGAAGGGTAATGTGATGGTAAACAGAATTATAACTAGCCTGCTCTCCACAAAGTTCTCGCTGATTATCATCTTAATAGCTGAGAAAAATGTTTATCACCAGCAGCCTACTGGTCTCTGCAAAGAGGTTCAGATGCTGCATCTCTGACATTAGTGGAACCTAATGACATCTGTCTGTGGTTAGGCAGACTGACGTGGAAAGGCCTTTAATTCAAATAGGTGGGTAACAACTGTTGTTTCAAGTGTTAATTAGAATTCAAAATAAGATGCACAAAATTTGTCCTGAGTAGCATTCTGTGCTGGTGTCTCAAGCTTGCCAAGGGTGACTGATGCTACAAACAGAGGATGAAGACCTCTTATTTGGAGAAGTCAGAAAAGGACTGCGTGAGACAGAGCTGAAAGATGTATGTGCTTATGCCTTTGCTGGTAGCGGAAATGGTAGGGAGAAGATATGGGAAATTGTTTTGAATAACGTAGCATAAGAACTTATAACGTGAGTATTGGCGTTAGATGGTCTTCGCTGGCCTGCTTGCTTTTGTAATAAGTTAAATGCTGAATGTCTCCCTTTTTTTTTTTTTGCAGCTGGATGAATGGTTTTGTTGGAATAGAAGCAGCAGTGTAATTTGAATTATTATACTGCAAACACCTTATTTTTCAGAAGTGTTAGTGCAAAAGATTATTTCTATTTATGTGATATGAGGGGAAAGGTTGGTTTATGTAAGTTTTTTTTACAGTTTTTTATGTAAGTTTTTTTTACAGTTAATTATAGGAGGTTTCCATTGTAATTAACAGTAATGAGGAAAAGGATGTGTGTCACGTTACAGTAATACATGTGGAAACAGTGCACCTTAAGAAACCCCAATCACACCTAAACATGAAATACTGTTTTAGTTTTCCTAACTCAGACATTTTTTTCCACTTGCCATTCATTTTGTATTTTGTATATTCCTCTTATTGATTTTTGTTCCACTGGTATTTTGGCTTACGCGTTTTCTTTCTTCCCGTTAATCCCATTTCACCCTCAAAACTCTTTGAAGAGTGTCTGGATTGCAGCCGTTAGTAAATATTCACTATTGTCAGAGGTGAGGGACTCAAGTATTATTTCTTGTGAAGGACTGCAGAACTCCAGTATTTTCTTGTATTTTCATTTGATATTGCTTTATGAACTTTGGCATCGTAGTTTGCTATGGCACCAAATCAATGTGCAGTCAATTTCCAAAACACTGTTCTGTCTACAAGTAATAAGAGACCAAGTCTACATGATTGTTACCCTATTAACTTTAAGATAATCTTCGTGAAAAAAACTAATGTTGCTGATCCTTATTGTTTTATGCCTTTCATTCATTTCAAAACAAAGAATACTGCTGAAACTCGTGTCACTTTGACCTTTGACAAAATGTAGGGGTCTTTTTTCTGTATTGTATGCTATGTGACTTACAGCCATTTCTTTTATGTATGTCTTGTCTGTGTGAGCCATCAGCAAGGCGTTTAGCAGTATGCTGTTCAGTTATGTAAGAGAGATCATTACGTTTGAGTCTCAGCAAATTCAGTAGTCTTTTATTCAGCGAGGCCTTGAACAGGATGTCTCTTTGCAGCCTTAACCACCTGTTTCTGTGACATCCACAGAAACTGAAGTTTATTTTTTTGTGTGTGTCAGACTTGGTTGCCATTGAAAGGTTCAAACCTATTGGAAGAGTGTTTTGTAGACAGTGATTTCAGAAGCCTGTTTTGTGTTGTTTTTATTTTTTTTTTGTATCTGGCTAAACAAAGTGTATCCTTTTTGTCCATACTACTGTAAATGTATTTTTGTCCCGTTTGTTAGATACAGAGGGAATTCTAAAATAGTTCTGTGTTATTCAGTTTAGTTATCGAGATGAACATATGGTTATTGATGTGTAGTCATTGTGGTTCTCTCCATGGCCTTTTCTTAAAGTGCGTATTCTGTTCATGTTTTCATCTATGTTTCTGCTTTCCTTATGAGAATCACTTTCAAAATGGTAAATCTGCACCCTGTTTTCATGATAGCCTGTGAGGACTTGATTGATTAATTAACAGC